TCATCACAGTGGGAAGCTGTAAGAATTTGAAATACTTTTTATAGCAAGTCACTTAACAAAATCTTCAAGCTCGTCCTCCACCCCTCCTGCTGGGCAGCAGCAGCAGTGGTTCAGAAGCAGAGGAATAAGGCTTTAATAGTGTGCTGTGCATTGGAGGCTATGGGCTGCAGGCTTCAATATCCAGGCTGTTCTGGGTCAACAAGAGGAGAGCACGGGACTTTCCAGAGCAGCTCTGCAGAGATCTGGGCAGACAGTGCAGGGGAGCCACAGTGTGTGTACCTGCTGCTGTGTGTGCCTACAGTAGGAGAGAGCCTGCTGGGGAACCAGAGCTGTACGCTGTGTCCATAAAGGCTGAGGACTGAACTTTGTGAGAGACCTGATAGTGAAAGACATGATTGTGAGGACTGAGCTTTCTGAGACAAGTCACCAAGAGTATTGGCCTGGATCCCTTGCATACCCGGAGTGGTGAGTGGAACAATGGACCTTAACCCCTTACTGCCCACAAGTAATACCAATAGAGACTGATCCTTATCTAGCAGTCTATCAGCCTTTTATTTCAGACAACATTAAATAGATAGTTTCACGTGCACCACCTTACTGATAGGCCCCAAAGATAGCTGGCTAATACTGATAATTAGGCACCAGGTACTTTGTAGCCACCTGCAGGTGTACCCCTTGTCAGAGATGCGTACATCCACCCACTAAAGGGCTGTATGCGTAGTGAGCACACAAGGACATTTATTTTGTAGTTAACTGTCATAAGCTAGTGTTCACCTAATTAATTCAGCATCTTTAAATGTTCTCAGTTGCCTATCTACTGGTTTATGCCTTGTGTTAACTTGCCTTACTACAATATACTTACTTTATCTAACACCCAGCAGTCTGTGGCCTTTTTCATGAATACTGATATGATGTGGTAATATACTAATGTTTACGTTACACAAGTGTGAGCGGCCTTCAATCTATAACCAGATGTGTCAGTGGGGACTGTGCAGTTTAAGGAGTTGTGGCAGAACAGAGGACCCATCAAACCAAGCAGATTCTCTGGAAGTAGCAGTACATACATTATTTAGATTTTTAAGATAAGAAGCAAAAATAAATCTCGGCATTTGATAACAAGGCATGGCCAAAATTTGATATCCTTATTAGTGTTTTTTAGGGAGAAGTATTATTAACTCACAAAAGCTGGCCATAGATGGATAGACATTTTGACAGTTTCGATCATCAGTGAGTTGCCCTCCCGGTTTAACAGAAGTCCATCATCACACGGACTTCTGTAACACAGACAAATTGGAAAGCTTTTTTCGATAGACTGCAGTTGCTCACCAATGTATTCTGACACCAGTGGGAACTGCTGTCATAATACAATGCCCAGACTGGGGGATTCCTCCATCCACCTTGTTTGCATGGATGGATAAGACTGATGGGTTTTTTTACTTTCACTAAATTTTTATTGAAGTTTTGACAAAATATAACAAATAACCATCATCAGTTTCAAAAATGATTAATACAGGAAAAAAAGAGGATAAGGAGCCCATAATGAATTCAAAGGGGTGCACACAATCCGCAAGTGTCCAGCTATAACAACTATATTCAGGTAAAATCAAAGAACAATATTCATTATTCCCTATGTATCACTTTGTAATCTCCCAAAAAGGAAGCTCCCAGCACCAGATACCTCAGGTGCCTGCCTCAAATACTCCTTTGAAAGTGACAGACTACCAGAGAGAAAGGAGAAGTAGAAAAGAGATAGAAGAAGAAAAAGAGTCAGAAAAACAGGTCAGGAGCAAGAAGACCAAGTGACATACATCCCTCGTCCTCAAAGAGCAATTATAAAGAAACTTACATAAAAACTGCCCAGGGTTCCCATGTGCTTTCAAATCTAGCCACGGTATCATGAAGTACGCTAACAATCTTCTGCAAAATAATCCAGGTGATTTACTTCATTGCCTGGGTCACAGAAACAGAGGGCTGCTTCCAAGCCCTAGCAATGGTCATCTTTGCCCCCCAGTAGATCAAAGAAAATCAAGCATTGTAAATGTTGAGGGGCATCCTTCACTGCTGCACTAAGCAGAGCCACTGAAGGGGTCTGAGGAATGGGAAGCTCTGTTGGGTTTTTTTATTACAAGTTTACCATGGCTCTGTTTTCTTTTTTTTTTTTTAACCTGTTCCTGCCAGATGTACTCATCTATGTGGCCACTGGGTGGGTGGCCACATAAATGTGTCCATATCAGGGGCGGACTGACCATTTGGAAACTCGGGCACTGTCCGAGGGCCCGGGGTCAGTAAGGGCCCCATGAGATGCCCCTGGTACCTTTTTCATAGGCTTTTTTTGAGTTTGGGCAAGGACACAGGGGCCCCATGATCCCCTATTGCCCGGGGCCCCATGAGTTGTCAGTCCGCCCCTGGTCCATACATAACAGATTTCTGTGCTGAAAGCACAATCGCTGTGAGCTTTTAGCACAGTAACTAAAATTTCATGGGAAGCTCCCAATGCATGCTTGTAATTAGGAGCTTCCAATCATGTCACCGCTGTGGCAGCCAATCACAGCATCACATGATCGGAATGCCCGCCTTCACCTCCCAGCATGTAGATTCTCATAAAGAGCCAGGGGAGGAATATGGCAGGAAGGCATTGAAAAGTATCTTACCTTTTTTCAGGCTTCTTTTTTTGTACATTCCCTACCTTAAACTGATGTGCCTCACAGCTACTAGTGTAGAGCATGCAGCGCTGCTGTTTCTGATCACATGCAGGTTCCGCAGGACATAGCCAGTTGTTTGCTAGTGTTATCAATGTGCTCTCCTTTCCCTCTTCCTTTCTGATTCTGTCCATGAACATCTTACTGTTCAGTAACGCCATATACAGCTTAACCAATTCAATACCGGGCAATTTTACACCTTCTTGCCCAGGCCAATTTTCAGGTTTCAGCGCTCTCACACTTTGAATGACAATTGCGCGGTCATACAACATTGTACCCAAACTAAAATTTTATCATTTTCTTCACACAACTAGTGCTTTCTTTTGGTGGTATTTAATCATCGCTGAGGTTTTTATTTTTTGCAAAATTAACAAAAAAAGTTTGCAAATAAATAATTGTTCTTCATAAATTTAGGCCGAGATGTATTCTACTACATGTCTTTGGTGAACATAACCCAAATTAGGATGTATTTTTTAGTTTGTAGGAAAGTTATAGAGTTCACAAACTATGGTATAGATCTGAATATTGATCAATCCTGAAGTACTGACAGCCAATCTAATTTCTTGAGGTCCAAGAATGTCAGAATAGTACAGATATCCCCAAATGACCCCTTTTTGCAGAGTAGACAGTCCGACGTACTTCATAAGAGTCATAGCAAGTTTTTTGAAGTTGTATTTTTTTGTCATAATTTTTCGGGAAATGAAAAAATAAAACAAATTATTTTCACTATTTTTTTTTTACATACTGTCACCAGTGCAGTACAGCGTCATCATATAACTGGCATGGCGGTGATCAGGGACACTGACTGGTGACAGTGTGAAAAAAAAAAATATATATATATATATATTTTTTTTTTTTTATTATTTTAAATTTTTTATTACATTTTATTTCTTTTTTTAAGATTTTTTTTTTCATATTTCACTATGTCCAAAGTAGTACAATGTTACCATAGTAACATTGTACTACTTTGGGGAAGTGATCAGTTTTTTTTTTTTTTTTTTTTTTTACACAATTTGCTTATAGCAAAGAATTACTTTGCTATAAGCAAGCATTTACCTGAATGACATTGATTCACTCAGGGTTTTTTTGGTTTTTTTTTTGTGCTTAGCTGTGATTTGGCCACAGCTAATCACATGACATGTGCATGTGATTAGCTGTGACCATTCACAGCTAGACACTAGTATACAATGGATGGCATGAATGAAGCCATCCATTGTATACAAACTGTCATGTGACCTGCTGTGATTGATCACAGCAGGTCACATGGTACCTGCAATGGGGCCGATACTCAGATCTGTCATCGGCCATGTCCGAGGTACAGGGCCGGTGACAGATCACGCCGCTGCGTGGCTCTGCAAGTGCACGAACTGCGCATGTGCGGGAGTACGCCAAAGGGTGGCCTCCCGGAAAGCTAGTGCATTTTTCCGGACGCCATACGGCTATTAGCCGGGCGTCAAATGGTTAAACACATCCTTCCAATCTGTAATTTAAAGGATATGTGTTTTCTCAATTTAGCCCTTGAAGCCACATGAAAATGCCATTTTCCTGTTGTGCAACAGTACTTATTAAAATGCTGCTGTTGGTATATATCCTCCATAGCAGTTCCTGGCTTCCTATACTTTTGGACAACAGTGTATTAACCCTCAAACTGATAAGAGGCATGGAGGAGCTCAGCTATGAGGAAAGATTAAAGGAATTGAATTTATTCTCTCTTGAGAAGAGGAGATTAAAGGGGGATATGATCAACATGTATAAATACATCAGTGGTTCATATAGTGAACTCGGTGTAGAGTTATTCACCCTGAGATCATCACAGAGGACAAGGGGGCACTCTTTACGTCTGGAGGAAAAGAGATTTAACCATTTGCCTACTGGGCACTTTTACCCCCTTCCTGCCCAGGCCAAGTTTCAGCTTTCAGTGCTCTCACACTTTGAATGGCAAGTGCGCAATCATACAACACTGTACTCATATGAAATTTTTATAATTTTTTTGAGACAGCTAGAGCTTTTTTTGGTGGTATTTAATCACCTCTGGGTTTTTTATTTTTTGCTAAACAAACCAAAAACAACTAAAAATTTCGAAAATAAAAACTTTTTTCTTAGTTTCTGTTATAAAGTTTTCTAAATAAGTGATTTTTCTCATTGACTGATGTGCACTAATGAGGCTGCAGTGATGGGCACTGATAGGCGGCACTGATGAGCACTGATAAGGAGGCACTGGTAGGTGGCACTGATGGGCATTGACAGGCATCACTGATGGCCACTGAAAGGCAGCACTCGTATATGGCACTGATAGGTGGCACTGACTGGCACTGTTAGGCAGCACTGACTGGCACTGATAGGCGGCACTGACTGGCACTGATAGGTGGCACTGACTGGCAGCACTGATAGGCGGCAATGACTGGCACTGATAGGTGACACTAACTGGCAGTGATAGTTGGCACTGAAAGGCTGCTCAGATTGGCACTGATATGTGGCATTGATGTGCACTGATAGGCACTGATATGTGGCATTGATGTGGCACTGATGGGCACTGACAGGTGGCATTGATGGGATCTAACAGGTGGCATTGATGGACACAGACAGGTAGCACTGATGGGGCTACACTGATCATCAGGGCACTGATCCTCAGTGCCCTAATGATCAGTGTACATGTCCTCTCTGAGTAATGCCGATTACCGACTCTCCTCTCCTCATGATCTGAAGAGGAATGCCGATAACTGGCATTTCCTAATTTACATGCGATCAGCTGTGATTGGACACAGCTGATCACATGACAGAGCCAATGTCATCGGCTCTTTCCGCTGATTGGTGATCCTCTTTGTCCCAGGGACACAGTGCACCGGGGGTGGCGCACTCGTGGTTAGAGTGGGAGGACATCATATGATGTCCTCCCAGAACAAGAGAACCACCTCGCGTCCCTCATTTCCAAATATGGAAAGGTTTCTTCACAGTAAGAGCTGTGAAAATGTGGAATAGACTTCCTCAAGAGTTGGTTCTGGCCAGCTCAGTAGATTGCTCTAAAAAAGGAATGCTGGTGGGCAGAAGATGGTGGAATCTGAATCCTCGCAAGCCAAAAACAGTGAGTTGCCAGAGACTGTGTTGCTATTATTGTGGTGTGCCTGCAAGGAAAAGTGTATTGTTTTGTCTGCCTTAAAGAGACAGTACACCAAAAATTTTCGGAGAAACTGTGTTAAGAATCCATTGTGCAAAGATGGGTGCTGTTGCCCGTGGCAACAAAAAAGCAATCTGTGTGGCTGACTTCACACAGCCTATGTTGCCTGATGAGCATCTTGAGGACTTTCTCGCTGAATTTCAGAGTATGGCTTCATTCAAAGTGTGGCTTAGAGGTTGCTGGGCTGAATTGTTGAAGCCTTTTCTGCCAGCGAAGTTCCAGGAAGTGTACCATATGAAGGGTGAAGACCAGGATAACTATGACAGGTATAAAGCAGCAATCCAGTCTGCAGAGATCTGGGAAAGCTCTGCTGGGAGTGTGTGTGGTTTCCCATGGCAACAAGAGAAGAGGTGTCATCTGGATGGCAAAGCTGCAGTGAAGAGGTGGCTCATCATCCTCACAAAGGGAGCTGGTATGCCCGAGAGCCTGTGATGCCAAGGAGGGCATTTGTGGTATCATCTGGTGGCTGCATGGGATGATACACCCGGAGAAATGCCAAGGAAACTGGTAAGGTGGTTGCTAATAAAAATCTGAAAGAGACTGAGTTTAATATCAGTGAAGTGGTGGCAAGTCCCGTGAGGAGATCTGCTTCCAAGAAGGACTTGCTGCTGTGTAGTACCCGGTGTAGTGGGGAAACGTGGTTCAAAGTTAAAACCACAGCGAGACGGAGGACTGATATGGACTTGTTTTCATCCAGTCTTATGTGTAGCAGGGAGACAAGTGGTAAAACTGAATATAATGTGTTGCTTACTAATGTGTTTAAAAATTCTGAAGTAAATAATGGGTTAATGCAGCCTGCTAAGGCTGAAACAGCAGATGCCTATGATGTTAATGAAGTGCCATCAGTGCACGGTAGTGAAAAGGTGATATTGCAACCGGCTATGTCAAGGATGACGACTGAAAGATGTGTGCCACTGCCCCTATCAACTGTGATATCAACTGTGACAGGTGCAACAGAGGTGTCCCTGGAGACCTCACAGGAGCTTGTGGTGTTTGAGGTTTACCAGGACAACTGTGTTGGTGCGCCAATGGGCGAGTGTTGTTCTTATAAGCTGAAAAGTGAAGTATTGAATGTCCTACAGTCTCAAGCTGGAAATAAACTTAAACAGCCTAGAAATGTCAGAATTGGAGATGATTATTATGAGAAATTTGCCTCTGACAATGTTAAAGATGAAGGTTTGATATCTCCCATGGCAATCACATCATGGCCATCACAGAGGACAAGGGTGCACTCTTTACGTCTGGAGAAAAAAAAATTTACTCTCCAAACATGGAAAGGTTTCTTCACAGTAAGAGCTGTGAAAATGTGGAATAGACTCTCTCAAGAGTTGGTTTTGGCCAATTCTGTGGATTGCTTTAAAAAAGGCCTGGATTCTTTCTTGGATACACAGAATATAACTAGTTACTATTTATAGGTAAAGTTGATCCAGGGAATATCCGATTACCTCACAGGGGTTTAGGAAGGAATGTTTTCCCCTGCAGGGGCAAATTGGGTCATGTTTTGCTGGGTTTTTTGCCTTCCTATGGATCAACTGTAGGTGCAGCATTATAACTTTTTTTTTTTTTATTGGTTGAACTGGATGGACTATTGTCTTTTTTCAGCCAGACTAACTATGTAACTATGTATGTAACCACTGGTAGTGCTGCAGAGTTGTCTCTGGAAATTGAACAAGGACTTCTGGGGTTGGAGCCAGCGGTTGTCCAGGACAGCTCTGATACTGCAATAGTGGACCAGAAGGGGATGTTAGTTCAAATGGTATAACATGTGCTATCATGATCTGATGATATTACAACTGACAAGTATAATGTGTCAGTTGCTGTTGAGCACCTTGGTCCGTCTGTGCCTCCTTGGGTGGATGCAGGGCTGCAAAGCACCAGCGAGTGGAGCACGGACTGTGATGAGTGGCACAAGGATGTGTTTTGCATTGATGGACAGTTTTGCATTGATGGACAGTATGTCCATGGGCAATATTGAGGTGAACACTATTGCCTACCGCAGGAACCCATGCCAAAAGGTAGAAGGGGTGGTAGAGAAACCCGTGGGAACCTGTTAAGGATTAAGTAGTGCTGGTGGAAGCACACCCGTAAAAAAGAGGTGGGCAGAATTCCCCGTTAGAGGCAAAAGACGTAAGGTCAGAAAGGGTAAGACCCCTGTAGTGGTAGTTGGCACAAAGGTGCCTAGGTTGGTGTGTTTTTCCCTCCGGTGCGAAATGGGGGGGGGTAATATGTGGCAGGAGGAGGCCATGGCACTGTGTGATTAGGCAGTTTAGGCTAGATTTTGGAGGAAACAAGCACATTAATGAGCCAAGTATATATTTCCATCATATTGGAGCTGGGATCAGAGCTCAGGGCCCACCCTTCCAAGGGGGTCAGTCTGTAATGGGAACTGTGCTGCTATGCACTATACTGTCCAGGTCAGGACAGACCAAGGGCCCAAACCTGAGAGAGAGAAAGTCTGGGAAAGACGGAGCAGCTGGGCAGCTGCAGAAAAGATGAAGAGCTAAGGTACAGTGAGTCTGCATGAGCACTGTAAGTGTTTGATAGTCAGGAAGACCAAAACTACTAAGTAGAACAATAAAGCTTCCAAAAGAGCCAGGAAGCTGAATATTGTTTTTTCTTTATCTTATTGATGGCGAGAACCCCCTGCGTGGGAAAACCCCTGATGTCCATGTGAACTTTTGTGTTACTTTTAAATAAAAATGGCCAGAAAGAGCCCTAAAATAAATCTCTGGCATGGAGAAAATTCACAAATTCTACAAATAAGCTAAATAACCCCAAATCATAACAATGCCTAAATTAATTTAACCACTTGCCCTCCTGAGGATTTACCCCCATTCCTGACCAGGCCATTTTTTGCATTTTGACACTGCATTACTTTAACTGACAATTGCGCAGTGATGGAACGCTGCATCCAAATGAAATTTACGTCTTTTTTTTTCCCATGAATAGAGCTTTTGTTTGGTGGTATTTGATCGCATGTGCCTTTTTTATCTTTTGCGCTATAAAAAAATAAGACTGACAATTTTGAGAAAAAAAACAATATTTGTTTACTTTTTGCTATTAAACATGTCCAGTAAAAAAATGAAAAATCAATTTCGTCATAAATTTAGGCCAAAATGTTTTCTGCTACATGTCTTTGCTAAAAAAAAATCCCAATATGTGTAAATTAATTGGTTTATGTGAAAGTTATAGCGTTTGGCAGTATAGATACTGGGATTTTTTAAATTTTTACTAGTAATGGCGGTGATCAGCGACTTATACCGGGACTGCGGCAGGCATTCTGACACTGGGGAGAACTGACTTGGTGTCACTGACATCCCCAGTGACACCAGTACAGTAATCAGTGCTAATAAAAAGCACTGACACTGTACTAATGACACTGGGCAGGAAGGGGTTAATATCTGGGGCAATCAAAGGGATAACTGTGTGCTGTTTTACTGTGTGCTTTGTGTGTGTGCTTCACTGTAGGCACACTGCTTTGCATGGCTCTGCAATGCAAAGCCATGCATAGCAGTGTGCAGGGCTGACGGGAGAGAATTGTATTGTTTACTTACAGTTCTCTCCCTCTTTCAGTAATGATTGGTATGGGGGGGGGGGTGATAGGAAAGGATATTTTCTTTCATCCCTTATTACTCAAGCATGCAAGTTTATGAGGGCACCGAGACTAACTTGTGTATTTGGTTAATAGGGTTGAGAGGCTCTGCCTGTCCTCTCAATGGACTGATGAGAATGTTCTGAAATACAGCTAAAAGTGTGTTAAACGTATCAAATGAAGTACCATGTCCTGAAGGGGGGGAGGGGTGTCACTTTCTCTTATTTAAAAAATGTCCGGGGCGACCTGGGTCCTGAACAACATGGCTGCCAAACACAGCTTTTCCTGTGCCCAGTAAGTACTATTACACTGTCCACCGAAATGTTATGACAGATGTTTAAGCGTATATGTGATCAGCAGTGTTATAATCTCTCATCACACAAATGTCCTTTAATCTATGAAAAAAGTTCCAAACTGTTTCCCAATAGTTCAAATTTCCATGTTTACTATCAAAATACACAATAATGTCCATTATTTTATTTTGTATTATTATTATTATTATTACTTATTATTATTATAAAACAGTGGCAATAGACAGAGGTAAGTTCTGCAGCCTCAAGGGAAAGCCACTGTGAGGAACATGGAACTAGGAGTAATGATCCATACTCACATGCATTGACCTTCATTGCTCAACGCAATGACAAGTCAAAATGATTAATATTATTATACAGGATTTACATGGTGCCAATAGTTTGTGGATCGCTTTACAAAATGGAGGGAGACAATATATTTACAATACAAGTAAATGTAAGAAAGATCAGAGGGTTTTGCTCATTAAGTATGGGACAGAGTGCTGAGGGATTAGAACACCGGTTAAGTTTTTATTGCTACCTCTGTCCCC